GCATAAAATAAAATGGTAAACAGTAAACCAAAAAATTAAGAACATTAAAAAAAAAGCTTTGGGTGGGGATAAAAGGCAACTAGCAAAAGTATGTGGCAAGTCCAAATACCTAGCCGAAACCAAAGAAAATAGAAAACTAATACGGAAACGTCTATGACTTTCTGAAGGCCGACTAGTTCGTTCTTGTGTTCTGCAGAGTTTAAAGATATGGGTAGAGAGTAGTAAAGATATTGAGTCCTCCACTACCTTCTTGTCTTGGTAAATACAAACGGATCACAGAAGAGTTCTTCCTCACTTAGGGTGCAAACATCTGTTTTTGTAAGAAGCCCAATAGTATGTTTATCCAATGAATTTAGATCCTCATCAGAACATTTTACTATACCAAATCTTTATGGAAGTACAGCCCAGGTGAGTAGGTGCAGCCCAGCTGTTGATGGCTATAATTACGGTTTTCCCCGCTGCTTCGGATTCAGTATCTTGGTTACCCCGTTTCTTAAACTTCTCGGTAAACTCATGTTTAATTTTGCTGTGATCAAGTTTCATATTCTGTTGTACTCCGAGATATTTGTTAGCATTAGGTTGCAATTCATCTATGCCTTGGACATTTTCATCTAACTTTTCTGCTATACCTTTCCGTATGCTTATGATGGTGCATTTATACAAACCAAAGCTCACCCTAATATCTGGACTGAATATCTTGGTAACATCTATTAAGGAAGAGAGATTTTGATGTATTCCAGCAATAAGCTTCATATCGTCCATAAATCAAAGATGATTTAATGTCTTATGATTTGATGAAGTAATTGTGTAGCCAATGGTATTACTCTTAACAGTGATGACAATAGATATAAGTCCAGACAGAACCATAAGGGTAAAAGAGTCTCCTTGTAATACGCCAAGTTTAATGTCAATTTTGCAACTTTTCCTTATTAGCGTGCAGATTTACCCTCCGCGTTAGCAGCAATGATTGTGTTTGTGATCTTCGGAGAAATCCTGTAAATTCCAAGAATTCTTATCAACCAGTCATGAAGAACTGAATCAAACGTTTTTGTGTAATCTATCCTCTAAACCACAAATAACTATTATATTATGATTATTATTATTAGTATTATTAATAATAATATTATTATTCCTTTTCATCACGACTAATATGTTATGAGACGGCTGAATATAAAATCTACTCCAAGTAGCAACCAGCTACCTTAGGAACAGATCTAGCTTTCGGTCCCTCTACAATACTTTGCGCAAAATGTCAGCTGTTCCAAATAAAGCAATTTCCTTCACTTCCCAGCCTTTTGAATAACCTGGACGTTTATCCAACTTCTTACACAAATTTTGCGGAACAAATCACAGAGCTCGAATGGGTATCGGTACGACCTGTTCATTTGCTGCTATCGTGCGATGCTTTTGAATGTGTTGGTCGAATAAATGTGTAAAGAGTCGAATAGATGTCACCAGTTTTGGTCAGTGTTCGTACCACTTAGGTCATGTGTTTGGAACCTCGAGGGCGATACAGATCTGCCAGTGGAGGTAACTACATACCCCATCGTGTCTTTCCAAGTATTCGATCTTTGCTAGCATTAGACAAGCTGAGACGATATGATCAATGGTTTCTACTTTTCCTGGCAATTGCGACATTTATAATCTTGGGAAATTTTTAGAACTGCTTTATCATTTTGTGGTATTCTCAACGCCTGATGCTGAGCAGCTATTAGGACTGCTTCCGATTCTGGCTTCATTCTTCCTATTTTAAGCCACATAAATGATTGATCTTTATTGATCTGCATCTCGTCCACTCTTTATAGATATTGTACATGGAGTGGTTCGCCTCTCCACGATTTCTTTAACATTTTTTGTGTCCCGTATTTCATGTTTGTTTATTTATTATTATTATTATTATTATTATTATTATTATTATTATTATTATTATTATTATTATTATCATTTACGACATATCTCCATGTAACGACCATATATTGTACAGATTAATATAATAACAGTACAGTAAAACATGGATGATCATTAACATCATTTCCAAAATTTTTTCTAACAATTTTGATTCTTGAGATGAGTCATTTTCCACTGGTTTTTAGGAATACTCATTGAGACTCATAGAGACTTGATTTATGGTCTTCGGAATATTTCCAGAACTAGATATTAGTAAAGAAATCTTTCTTACTTCTTGAGCATTTCATTGTGTTATCTGCTCTGAGAGACCCACATAATTTCCCTTGTGTATTTCAAGTTATGATTTGAAGTTTACGGAATCTCTATATCAATAATATCAAGTAGTCTTTTTTCTTCAATGAACATAATATATTTTATTTTCTACTGATGACTGCGCTGCCTCTTTCAATTAGAATCAGTCTTTTCCAGTACTACCGATGAGAACGATTTTCCAAAACATATTCCGTATTATAAAAATAGATAGGAACACTCGTCGGAGATATTTATTGGTACATCTGGGCCAATTTTTTATCAATTATTTTCATTACTGCTTAATGTCTGTTCTTGTACTCTGATCCACATAGTCGTGTGCAGCTTGTTGGAAATTGTTGTGATGATTAAACGTGTCCACAACCGTAATAACAAAGGTTCTTGATCATACGCACTTGTTTAAGTGTATATTTTCTGTAAATGTACGATAAAATTACGTGATGAATGGCAACCATGAATTCTTGTGTGTTTATGAGCGACAGTTGCGTCAATTTCGTTTCCTTGTTTTGCTTTGGAGTGGCTGAACAACAAAAGTCTACTGTCGACGCCAAGTCGAAGACGATAAATTGAGTGAATTTATCACATATTTGAGAAATTTGTCATTCTCTCTAAACTTCCATTCGTATTTATTGGCAAATATTGTTTGGCATTGCTGGGTGGCGCAATGAAAACCGTAAATATCAGCTGATAACCAAACCTGAAATAAGATTTGATAAAACCGTGGAGGTTAGCCTGCAATTTAAAGTGGTATCCCGGAGACTTTCTCGGTTTCAACGTTTAATTGTAACTGTCGTCCCTATGACAATTAAAAGTGAATGATCAGGATGCGGTTCCAAAAACTCAGCAAGTGGTGGAACGAAGACTTGTCATCTCTGCAGTGATAAGCACACCATATTGCACCCAAATTCTTGTAAAAAAATTACACTCGGCTAAAATGAGAAAAGAAGGGATACTGGGCGAAGATATCCCGAGGCAATGAAACTCTTAGGGGCCATATCAGTTGTGACACCACCGCACGCAGTTCTGCAATATCTCCGGATTCCGTTCAACTCCCTGCCATGATAAATTCCCATTATGACACTAATTACGATGGAGGTGCCAGTCAAATCAGACTCTCTCTAGTTAAAAGCATCAAACTGCAATAATCGACATTTAGACTGCATACTTTCGGTGGTCGAAGTTTACCGGCGATGTATGAGTTCGAAACGACGAGACGGTCGGCGTTAATGGTTTTTCCGCTACAGCGCAAATCCTGGTTTTCCGTGCACTAGGATGTCCTGCACTGTTTGCACGCTACTTACTTATAAAGTTGCCTTTAAATCAAACATATTTACAGCAATTCTTACAACTATCTGCCCATTACATTTACTTTAAAAGACAAAAGTGGCATTACCCCGTTGGCTTACGATAATTTGCTGACGAAGGGTAATGCTTTTGCCCAATCTTTCAAACAGAAAACAAATGCAAACATTTGTCCAAAGATCCAACGCCCTTTGCTATGCCTTCAAGCATTACCAAACATCATAGACGTCGACGAAGAAAATTTAAGTAAAGTCTTTTTCCTTGCAAGCATATTTTCAGACTCCAGTTCAGAATCAGAAGATGAAGTTCCTCCCAAATCTGTGAAGCCGAACACTGAAAGTTTCCTCCTCACACACCATGCAAGGCCCCATGCTACCTCTACGGATCGTACTATATTGACTGAGATTCTGCGCTGGTTCCCAGTCCGTACTCTATACGATTTGCTGCGGTCATCAGATGCGGAAGAAGTTTCCAAAAATCACGAGAGTACTCGGCTTACAGAAAGTTTCCGTTGATACATGCTGTTCTGCAACACCATGCTGATCTATCATAGATGTATTCATTCATTTTATGCTCACCAGCGTGCCACAGCTTGGCAGGACACAGCTTGGCCCATTTCCTCGCATTTGCGACTCGAGAGAGCGACTTTCAAATTTCCGCCTCCAGCGACCTGAAACGGCTGCGCTGAGCTCTCGCCATTAAGCTGCGGCTACTACGGGGAATGGTCTAGAACCTTTCCCATTCATTCCATTAGGCAAATAGTCCCCGCTTTCCTACCTTGTCTCGTACATTTGTCGTAGCTGCGGATATGTTTTTCATGTCACCTGAAGTTTCACCTGCATTTGCGAATATAGAAGTTCTATTTTAGGCTACATCACTGTGAATGTTATTTTAAAGTGCATTTTAGTTAAAATCGTAGTATTCTCTGTGGCATGCGGACGTGTTCCAAATGACACGTAACGGTTCATTGCCTTAGTGCAAATTGAAATCCTATTTTAGGCAGTTTTAGTGTCAGCACTCGAATGTCATCTCAAAGTTTATTTTAATAGTGCGGTAATCGTTAAGTACACGAATTGTCAATCTTTTTATTTGAACACGTTGCAAACTGTGTTTGCTTACCAGTGTCCGTTGAATCTCTGGTCGGTCTTGGTCGTTGAACAAAACCAATCTTCTGCCGGTTCTCACGAAATTGTGTTTTGTCCACAGGCAGAACGTTCTTCGTGCGTGGTAAATGCACGTAATGACAATTTCTACCAGCAAAAATCTCCGCCCCTCTGTGCGGACAAACTCTGTCAGTCTGCTGTGTACGAGCAATTCATGCTACATTATTTATCTCAAGTGGTTTTATGGGAAAAAACCTTTAAAAGACACCCCTCTTTGTGAGACTTCGATTCCTTCACCCACCTTCGACCACCACGTAAAAAAGCGTCTTCCGCTTCCGTCCAGGTTTAACGTGAGGGCATTTTTTCAGGATGGTGCTGTCATGTACGAGTAATTAACTCATCAGCCTTTGCCTTTTCTCTTCCTCCTGCGTAATTGACATTTTGCCAATTTTTTGAACACTGATCCAAGTCTTTGGTGATTGGAGCATCGTAATGATTTTCCACTGTATGTGTTTTGTCCAATTAAGCTTATAAGCGTCTTGTCTTGGTTTTTCTCGGGAAGTGCAAGAATGTGTGCTCAGCTGTGTAAGTTTGCTCCCAGTATGTGCATCGCTCGTCTTCGGTTTTTCCTATTCTTTTCGCGTAGTGGTTAAATCGTCCATATCCTTCCAGCATTCGAGTCACAAAGTTATCTAATTTCTTGTGTTTCTTTCTAGTGCTGCTCTCAACTTTTTCCTCTGTAGTGCTTTGAACCACATAGAGAGGAGCATAAAGCGACATCGAGTTGACTGCTCTGCAGAGTGACTTCTGGCTGTTGCTGGGCATCCGATGTCTTCAATTTTCTGTTCCAGAATTTTCTTTATAAGACATTTGTACAATTTGCTTAGAGTGTTTAGCACGCAGATTAGTCTGTACGCTGACGGGTTGTGCGGTAGCTTTTCTGCTTTGGGGGGTAGCACTAGCCTTTCCACCTTCCACGTCATCGGGAATTAATGGTTGCGTATAAATATGTACAGGGTCTTCAGGATTTATTAGAGTGATGTGCCTTAAGCGATTTTTATCGGCAGGATGGCGTCCAATCCTGAAGCTTTTCCTGATTCAATCTTGTTCACCATTTCTGTCAGTTCTTCGGTACTGAAGGGTTCGGCGCTCTCTAACGACGACTAAAGATTTTTCTGCCCTTGGAAATAGCTGAAGTGCTAATTTTCTCTTCACAAAGTAGGTTGACTGTAGGTAGGTTGCTTGGAGTATTGTTTCTCAGACGCCCTGTGACTATATTATAGCCCTAACCTTAACATAAGTCAACTCTTTATTTATGCACTAAGCTGTATGCATTAAGCCAAAATTATTGTATTCCCGATTTTTAAATGTAAACTACATTTTTTTAATGTCGTGTGTTTCTATTTGATGTTTTGGGCCGCATGATTCTGAGCATCCTTGCCTTTATTTATTTTTGTAATCTGAAGAAACGTCATGACACAGAGAGACTGCCTCCCTGGCGGATTAGTAGAAAGTGACTAAAATACCTCAGAGAAGGAAATATTGCCAAACAATATATCATGTTTTCCGTCTCAATGGGAAATCCGGGATTTTTAACTGGCATCGCGATCGTCCCGGATCACGAGAGAAATGTCTCGCGACTCCGTTTGAATCTTGTCCTGAGATACGTGACAACGTGAAAACGTCTGCGAATGTTGCAAAACAATGCATCAGGTTCCCTATTTCATCTCGACTTTGGTCTTGGACTTTGGTACCGTGTCCGGCCCGAATCGTGAGAGAAATGCCTCATGAAATGCGAAATACCTACGAATTTTGTGCAACAATGTATTATATTTCGCGTTTCAAACCGAGACTTAGGCCTTGGGACTTGGGACTTTTGGTATCGCGACTATCCGCGACGAGAGGAATTCTTCGCTACCTTCTAACAATACACCGGCTTAGGAGGCTCAGGGCATCCACCGATGTCACTGCAATGCCTCTGACCATGAGGTCCGAAGTTTCGAGTCCCGACGGAGGCAGGATTTTTGACACTAGCTACATAGCTGGATCAAAAATAGTCGCTGTCTGGAGAAGAATTCTAAAGGACGGCCTGTCTGATCTTTAGTTTGCCGTGATTTATCCGACTAATACCAGATAGGTACAAAACAAATGGGCCAAGGACCGCGCGTGTTCTTTCCTTTGTTTTCCTTGACCTATTCGCACCTTAATTACTCAAAGTTACACTTACAAGCATTCCACTACTAGACACATCGAATGTTAATTCGGAAGCTTCGAGTCGCTGTTGATGCGGTGCCTCGGCGGTGGAAGATACCTGATTGGGGAAAGTCCCACAAGGCGACGGGTAGGTCGGTGCCATATCTCACCATCCAGCTAGGGACGTTCACCGCCACCTCCTCCGACAAAACATGCACTACACACACGGGAATAATTACGTGAGCCTTTTAAGCGCCCGGAAACATCAATGAATAAAGAGGTACGTGACCACGTGAAAATGTCTGGTATTTTTGTTAGGTGTGTACGTATTCTAAGGCTGCCTTCACATGAAGCCACTCGGTGGCGCCACCGCGAGGCGACAAAGCCCTTCACACGCAGCCACCGCCGAGCTCCACCGACCGCGAGAGAGAAAGGATTCGTAAGACACCGACGTGGGCTGCGGCCGGCGGCCGAAAGGCAGCCAACAGGTAAAAACAGACTCAGTGGCGCGTCTGGCGTGAACGCTGCTATTTAGAACAGCTGTGCTGGCGGCAGTGCGGACGCGAGTCCACGCTACTGGTGGCCGGAGTATGTCATCGAACGCGTGTGTGTGACGAGTGTAAATAGAACTCAGTGTGAATGTGTAAGTGAATGAAAAAACAAAAACCAAAAAAAACTAAATAATCAATATAAAGCCATCAAATAGTGTACTCACAAACTGTTAGTGCAAATTTTAGGTTGCAGGCCAAAGCGCCGGCTTCATCCACAGATTAAATTAGAAATAAGTTAGTTAGTAAGCACTGCCCCCTTCTTTGCCGCATAAGCCAAAGAGGTGCGGCGCATGTATCCCCAACATGACAATAAACACCCGCCTCGCAAGGGCTACTGGTGGGGGGAAAGTTGAAAAATCGAACGCCATAGCAGCAAGGCTACGGGTGAACCTCCTTTTAAACCAATGCTTTGACAGCAGACGCGCCACTCGGAGGCGCTGCAAGGTGGCGCCGCGTGAAGGGGGCGCTAAGGGCTACTTACTCTCGACGAAGGTGTAGGTGGCGAGGAAGCCGCGCGCGTGCAGGCCGGCGTGCAGGCCGCGGAACTCCAGCGTGAGCAGCGGCCCGCTCGACATGATGGGACGCAGCGCCGAGGAGCCGCAGAAGCGGTCGATCTCGTGGACGCGGTCGCCCGCGCGCGCGTACGCCACCAGCGCGTCCACGTCGTCGCAGCTGCAACACACGCCCGCGCCAACAGTGCAGACGCCGGGAAAGCATGAAGCATGGCACGAAGGAGGCGCACTGTTTTCTGAGTCACTTTTCGACTAAAAGGGACCGTTAAAGGTTAGAATGACAAGAATAATCCAATGAATTAAATACTTTGTTTTCCTGGGAAAAGAAAAAAAGAAAATTGTCAAAATGCCTCATTCGGTTGCAGTTTATTTCATTAATTTCCTTTTCAATAACTTCTCCAGGAAAATATATATAGTATAGGGGAAATTATGTAATGCTGCGGAAAAGCGATTTCGCTATTTCAGCGGAAATACACGTTTTGGTGTCCCCTCATACCGAAAAAGTGGATCTTTTCAAGACGTCCGTCCGTCCCTGTCCGTCCGTCTGTCTCTCTCAATCTGTGAACAGCACCCCCGTCTGAACCACATGTGCGACTTTTTTCCAAAATGTATTTTCCCCGATCGATCTGGCTCCACTCGAAGAGCCGCGATTTTGAAAAACATTCTTTAAAATTTAGGAGTACTTTACATGAAGCTGCAAAGACATTTTGAAAATTTTGGAAACTAGATTAAAGTACACTTATAAATGTGGCATACCTCCGATTTTCACGGTTATATCTAACTTTTCGAAAATTGCAAAACTTTGAATTTTCACCCGTCTTCCTTCCTGGATTCTGCCTACACAACATATTAGGTAATAATTTATTTCATATAGGAAAAATATTTATTTTTTTTTACTTTTTCGTTTTAAATGTTGCTGTCGAAAAATCGCCGATTTCCGTCGCCGAGTTATAATACGTTACCTGTACTATGCAAACGCATTAAAGCGAGAAACTAAAAGAAAGAGTAGAAAAGCTACAATATAAATATACTAAATTACATATACACTACAAGGAAAATCAGATACCCCAATCAGATATCTGGAATTATTCCCAAAACCTCCAAATCTAAAGTGTTGTTGATGATGGTGCTGGCTCGTGTTACGTCGAAGACGTGTTCTAACCAATCAGTTTACCAATTACCAATCAGTTCTTGAAAAGGACTTTCGCTTTCTTTGAATGCTCGCGTGTGCCATATTCTGAAGCCAAGAATTTATGGATAGTTTATTAACACCCTTTATTTACAATGAATTGAAAGCGCGTTTAGGCCGAAACCAAAAAGTTATAGTATGTAACAGATATTCTTAAGTAGACATCCAGAGAACGTAAATCATAATCTCTAGGTAGTATGTATTTGTGCATGTCCACAATGTTTACGTAGATAAAAAAAATATATATTGTGTAAACATGATATTGAATGTGTGAAGTTTTGGAAAGCTCGTATCAGTCATCAATGAGTTGACTTCCGATATATTTCTCTTGAGATAGTCAGGTGAAATACGAGTATAAGAGTTGTTATCTTATCAGATACACATTAGGAAGGTTCTGTATTCCCTCGAGGCTTTTAAAAAGTTTAAAAGAAATGGAACACACAATTCTTATTCTAGGATTATATGAATTTCTGAATAATTATAGTCTCTATTTATGAAATAAAATACTGCTTTTAGATTCACACTTTTCCCTCTGAATTCAATGAAAACCTTACACGAGTAAAAACACCGCGGAAAACGTGATTTTGTTTCATTTTAATGTTTTTAAAGTATGAGTCAGCTTCAGATAGATCGAGTCTCAAAAACGTATGTTTTGGTAGCAAGCAGTAATAAATTAATTAGTAAGTTATTGTATCGTTTTATTTTTTTAAATAACGAAGGTTTTAAGTATAAAAAAATGTTTTTCCATTCATAACTTTATTTAAGATTATTGGGAAAAGTATATTACATGCTTATGTACCTATTATTTGAAAATCTGAATAATTCACCTAACCTATTATGCATGCATTATAATTTAATCCAACGATTGGTCATTAAACAAAGCACAAATTAAATTTTTCATAGGGTTGAGAAAGTTTTACATGCAGCTTGTGGCCTGTGATCCACATGCTGTGCACGGCCGGTCTGAGATAAAGGGCCTGAGGGCGTTTCCAAGGGCCTCTTGAAGACGTTAATTGTAAGCCGAAGGGCTCCCCTTCGGCCTCCGCAGCCTCCTCGAAGTGTGGCGTGTTCCGCATTACAAGAGCTAAGAGTCTCCCTGTCTCCTTTATACGGACAGCAACGATTTTTTAACGGCGCCGTGCTCCGTTTCTTGGCAGCAGACGCCGCACAGAAAAGCGAAGCCCATTACTTGCGAGTCTTAACAGGCGCGTACGTCCTTTGTGCGAGCGTCCTTTAATTACCAGAAAAAGCGCTCCAGGTTGACAGTTTCACAATCCTGAGAGATGTGTTGTGAAGTCAGAACTTTATCATATCTTCATTTTGGTGAATTAAAAACATTTGAAACATTTATATACATGAAGCGGAAACGTAGAAAAAATTGCATTTACGGCCTCATAAGAGGAAATTTGAACGAATAGTTGCATTGTTTTTAAAGCTAATCAATAGAGTATTGTTAGCTCTTTTTTTAGAGCAAGACGTTGCGTTTCCCGTTATTTTGGCTTTACTTAATTCCTTTATTTTGTAAATTATGCTTCGCGCTCGGAGACGAATTCCTCGCTCATTGGGATGGTCATTGGGACTTCCGTTTCTGAGAAGCTAATTTTCTCTTCTATGTAAATGATTTGTAGCATATTAACGTTCGGGTCAATTCTGGAGTGGTTGGCAAAAATTGCTATTATTTTTCAAAATATAAACACTTAAGTATGTAAAATTCCATTAACTTTTGATTATCCTCGATTTTGTAATTTTGTGATTATATACCCAAATTGGCTACTACAAAGTAAAATTTGTTTTTAGTTTACTCCATTTTAAGAGTTTTGTTTCTCCTATAATATTTATTCTACTTTTCATAAACGAGATGTAAAAAGGGACAAGAGATTCAATTTGCACGTGAACTTGGATGTTCTGAGTTAAGAGTGTTCCGCTATTTCACTTCTTTTAAGGAATATACAAAATATTAAATTGGTTTCATTGTACACCAATTTATATCAATATACACTTGCATGAAAGAACTAAGTTACCCATGCAAATGTACTTTTACGGTCAAGAATTATTATTATTATTATTATTATTATTATTATTATTATTGAAATAGTTGTTGTTTCTTCCCGCTGAATCTGTTTAATGTTGTAGATAGATGTAAGTTTGAAGTAGGTTTAGACCATATAGGATCAATCTTAGGTAGATTCCAGGACTTAAGATACATCAACGTTTTGAATGTTGAATGTGCCTTGTCAAGAGTAATACATAAACACGGTTTACAATAGAGTACACAAGAAAATATTGATATCATTACAAACAATTTGGTGCATACATCACATACATATTACATGAAAAGTTTCTAAAAACGTTGAAGGTGGCATCCAACCAGTGGTTATAATAACAATTCAAGCGTCAGTTACGGTGGCTAGCACAAGAAACTTTTCAAGTAGGGATAGGACTCAGATTTTTGTGTTTTATAGTTTAACTGCATTTTTCAAACAAATTATTGGTTTTTGATCTCATAGGTACTTTTATTCACAAGAGTGTATTATTGATATCATCAAATCAATAATGTATTATCACACAATAATATATTATCATTATTAATGACAACATTAAATATTGTCCTTACTTTTACCTAAAAGTATAATTTTAGGTAAAATAAAAGACAGTATTTAATGACGCCATTCTTCGATGCAATTAAAGCTTCAATGCGTCGTGACTTGCTCTCTATCCAGGCTTTTGCATTTCGTTGCAGTTCAATGTTGTGATGATATTCTTTGTTGAGAATTTCAATTAACTATCTTATGGTGGTGATCACTTGCTTGGCGAACCGCCGGTTGGTAAGTTCCCATCGTAGGTTTCCACAGAGTTGCTACATGAGTTCTCTATAGGATTCGTCTTGTGAGTTCCCAATTTAAGGCAAAACGGTAAAATATTTGTACCAGGGATGCAGTAATACTCATTACTTTGTGGCATGGATCTGAATCGTGTAGAAAATGTTTTCTTAATCACTAAAGAGCCATTATGAACTTCGAGCAGTGGTAGTAGCAGAGATTCTAGCTTACTCGTTTGTACTGGTCATGGTATCACTTATCAATCAGACCAAACAGTAACCGAATACTGAGATGACTACTGGAAATTGAAGTGATGGGCGTGAATAGAAGCACGGATGTAGGTCAGGGCTCGCGCGCTTCCACACTTGTCTACGATTAAATGTAATAGGCTGGAGAGGCGTAGCGGCTTCTGCGCTGCGTGCGCGACAAATCAATAAAACGCCTGTTCTTAGGAAAATGTCCTTTGAACGACTCTTTTAGTTCCGCGCACGTGTGACGTTCCAACGATTGTGTTGGGGTGCGAACAAAGTCTTCATTTGACCTTTTTTTTCTGAACCAATTACGAGAAAGATAGCCGAGCTCACTGGTAGCTACGCGGATCATTGGGGGAGATAGGAAAAGGCGGGGAAGTTTATCGAAAAGACGGAGAGAAAGATCGAAAAGACGGGGTAGGAACCGGAGCTCGAAGGGAGAACAAAGAAGCCAGCGAGGAACGGTGAGAGACAGACGTCAGTGAGAAGGCAGGTCTCGGCTCGCGAGAAGAACTTGGCGAAAGTTTATTCATCTGACTTGTTTTGATAAGTGTAACTTACCGCTCGACGAACTGAGAACTCAGTAATTGGCCGCTCAACAAAGTATCGTGGTCTTACAGTTAATTAACATAATTACGACTGTGGAGCAAAGTTTTTATCGCGCTAGCCATGCAATGGTATTATTTTGCCATTGCCGTAAATTTCACGAATTGTGACCGCCGCTAAGATTCATCCCGGAAATCTGAAGTCCCGTCCACGGAAAATTGAAGTTTTCCTGTACGGGATGCCGAGAGTAAACACCGGAGCAGTGAAGGGACAGCGGGGCGCATCTGATGACGCAATGGCTTCTGGGTGGGCAGTGACTCCGACTTGTCAGTTGTCGGACCGAAGGGAGAGACTT